TTGGAGAATAGAAAATCTAGCCTCTTTATTGTGTATTCAACCTAATAATTGAATCTCTGGTTTGCGAGATATCGGTGCTAGGAAATGTCGAAGAAGTACCCCAGCTGAAAGATAAAAATTTCCGCACGCCGTTGCAAGTGATTCCCTTGAATCCCTCGAGATTCTTCTACATAGAACAATTATCTCAATGAAGTGAACAGGAAATGAAATATTCGGCGTCGATCAAATTCGCTCCAGTGAGCGCCATGTACATGAACCCCACTCAAATTATTTGAAAGGTGTCACGTCCACCGACGGTTTGTGGTGCATTCCAAAGTGGTCCTCACTACAATCACCTAAATCAGTCACTGTGGTTACGATACCCACTATTTCCTCATTTACGTCGGTTTCTTCCCGATCTCATTGCTGGGAGACGCAGTTTCGACTGCGCTGTGTCGTGTCAAAAAACTGTGATCTTCGCTCGTTAAAATTCTCGCCGGCCAGATTCAGTAAGGTGAATTTCACGATTAAAAAACAGCTCATTGAAAATCAAGGTAAAGGTGGTAAGTGGAGAGGGATGACGAGAAAACCAAGAGAAACGGGCCAGAGCCGAAAAATCAGACCCCTTCCTTGCCCGTTGGTCTCCACATTGATGCGACATTGCCTCCACGTTGCTTCATCGGGATGCTCTCTTCAGCGCTAACACTCTCTTTCCCAAACGGCTAGAGTTGGACGGCCAGAGCGGACCTGCCGGCAGGCGTGTGGAGCGCAAAAGTCACGGGTACGGTTCCGCTAGGCGGCGATGGGCCTCCTCTTCGTTGCAGGATACGCAGCGTTCTGCACCCTTAGGAGACCCGGCTGCCTTTCTACAAGGTGTATTTAATTTTCTTCGACCTCGAACCTTACGTGGAATTCTCCAAAAATAGATATGGAAATCGGGTCTAACTTTCAAAAAAAGGCGCTCATGTCCTTAGGAGGGATACTACGATGGGCTCACGCTTCCTTAGAATACCTCCCCCTCCCTAAAGTTCACTCCCAAATTCTGTGAATGGCTGGTTCACTTCGGCATTCCCCCCCCCCCCCCACAAGCGACATGTGCGCCCGAGAAAATACCGACTTCCCAGGGCTTTCTACTTCTGAACTATTTCCCAACAGCTTCGTCGCACTCTAGCTCTTTTCTACTGAATTTTTGCTTCGTGAAGTTTTCTTCACGCCAGTGGAAATAATTCTGATTGTTATGACAACGATCGACTGGGAGCTGCACGGCTGCTGCTGGACCCTGTGCTCATGAGCACCCCCCCCCCCCCACGATAGAGGATTTTCTCAACCGCTCTGCCTTTGAGCCATAGACTGAGGAGGGTGTACACCTCTGAATTCCAAAGAGGTTTATTCTCGAAACATTCTCAAAAAAAAACTCAAGAATGAAACTAACTTTTCAACCCCCCTCCCCCTACTAATGATAATAAGCAAAGGCAAGCGAAAGCTTGAGAAGGAGCAAGGGATGCTTCTGCAACTTGCTGTTCATTCTGGGTTTGGGAAACTATGATGAGTCGATGATAAGTCCCCGAGGTGAATCTTTCACCAGTGGCGTGTGGGCTGCGTCAGCCGGTTGGAATTCAAACCAAAACATTTCGGCATTTTGATACAGGAATCTCGAAGATTTCTAAGACCCTCACATCGTAATGATGTCTTATCGTGAATTCCATCGAGCTTGCATTCAGCGATTGTATTATGAGCAGAGGGTCATGGGCAATACACTTCCTCTTCGATCGAAGTGTGGCCCCTATCACCCTTTCATACTTCACTGAACTTACATACAAATGTGGGTGGAGTATAGTAGTTGCAACTCGAGCAAACCGCCTGTATGGCCACGTCGGATGGGGAGGATTGGATCGTTATTTTGGGGAAGGGGCCTATTTAGATTCTGTGTGTAGACGAGGAATTTCGCTTATGAAGTTGGAGAAAACCAGGCGCAGTTCAGAGAAACGTTGATTCTGGTGAAATTCTTAGATTACTCTTATGGTAAGAGGATTGTTGGAGAAAAATGCAGGGCCAAATGGAGGCAAGGATAAAACCTTGCCATGCCCCCCCCACTTTCTTCACGATTTGGGGCGATGTCCCCGGTGCGAACGCGAGTACGAATGTGGTGTGCTCGCCGAAAACTGTGCGGTAGGTTTGAAAACACTCCATCAGCACAGTTCGCAGGCACTACCAACTCGTCCGCGTTCTCAAATCGTGAAGAAAGTGGGGAACCCCATTGCCACTAGAAACATTGAATGAAAATTCCAGAACAGAACTCTAAAAAAAAAACTAGGAAAAAAGGAAATAAGCAAAATTCCCACTAGCTGGGGAAATCTGAGGTGATTATTTTCTTTCTGACAATATTTCCACGACTGAGTTACAAAAAAGGTTGAAACTACAGTAGAACAGCCAGCAATTGGTACCTACCATTGCGATATACGACCCACTCCTCGCTGCGTTTCTCTTCAGGCCATTTGTCTGTACTGTCCTCACAGTCTGAGTCCTCCTTCACTGGCGTAACGACGTCTGCTTAAAACAATAATTAGGCCAATATTACTCAAGTGGGTACTTGCTGTAATAGTATATGCCATGTACGGTAAGGTAGCTCCAAGGTGGATCTGGGTAGAAGCGAACGCGAATTGATGCTCATCTCTCGGAGCAGGATCCACCGTGCGTTAGACCTAACTCAACAAAAGGGTGTTGGCGAACGGGAGGGGTGGGAGAGGTGTCGTAAGGGACCGACTTTTAACACACTTAGGCTGGTGACAGCCTATAGTTATGCCAGCTAGTAATTGCTTACCAACCGTTTGTCGAAATTTTCGCATATTTGATCTCAGAATGATCAGGGCCGCATGCTATCCTTCCCGAAGGGGTTAGGGGACGAAAATCCCTTTAATTTTCTCTGTCTTCCCAACTGGGATTGCCCTGATAAAGGCCTACATTTAATGTATGTATGTAGGTAAAGTAAACATGCACTGAAAATGAAGAAACTATATCGTTCAAAACAAATAAATTTAAAGGAAACTTTGGATCACCTAGCTTCGGGGAAGGATAGCATACGGCCCTAATGTCTCATGAATTAGCAAGAATACTTTGTTCTATTTGACGTTTTTCTACTACAGAAAACATGACTGTGAGTGGCGGCAGCACACTCATACAATAGAAAGCGAAGAATGACACCGTCGTGAATGTGCTGAGTGCCACTGCGACTTCTCACCACAGACGAGTACACGGCGCATCCCAGAGCACGACATATTACAAAAACGCCTTTTGGTTCGATGAGCACAAGCAAACAGATTCTTCTAGAGATATACCGTTGCTTCCATATGAAATCAAAATGCAAGAAATCACATACAGCGGATTAATCCATGACGACTACAACAAGAAATTCTGGCAAAAATGGTTTTTCAGGAACAATCAGTGTTTTTTATGAAACATGATCCTTTGCTTGCTACGGTTTTCATTGCACCTCGTGGAAAGGTTCTTAAGGAGTTGACGGCATCTGAGGTTATATCCTCGGATTTTTAGAAGAAAAGAATAGTGCGAAAAACAGGAAAAAAGGAGCAGAATAGGACTATTTCAAAAATGAGTAATTTTTAAGAATTTATCACTTCTTTAAAAACAATCTCGTGGAATCTCCTCATTTCTTCTTAAGCTTGGACATTTGCATCAAGATAATTTTTAACGAAACAACATGGGAAAATGAAAACTCGCACAAAAAAAACCCAATGTTTACTTTTTCACTTCACCACCAAGGGTTTTCATGTTGGTAAGAAGAACTAGTAGCTTTTTGGAGTAGAGATCTCTCAAAATCAAAATACTTGCGCTGTTGGTATATGTTGATACTGAATAAGTTACGTTCATTTCAAGATAAGAGTAACAAGTTAGCGCAAACAGGGCCATCATAATCAGCACCCGGTTCAAGGTGAATAGCGGCATTATTGATCGCATCAATGACGCAATTCAATCGCCGACTATGAACACAATAAAAGTTTATGGGTCGTCTGCTGAACATTTTGAAAAGGGGGAAATGCCCTTCCGCGGCGCAGAATGTTGCAAGCCCCATCGAGGCCACTCGCAGGACCCATTGGCCAACGCCCAGTCCTTTTATTGCGCAATCATCTACAACTAGAAAACATAGTTTTTATATACTGTTTTTAGATGGTGATCTTATTAGGCGGATACTCGCCACTGTGCGAATACTGTTTCTTCCATTGTTGATATTGTTTCCTTACTGCTCTAATAGTAAGGAGATCACAAGAAAGAGACATCCACCACTTACTAGTTTTCGGAGATCGCGCAACCAAAGAGAAGTCCCTGATCGGTGGGTCCTGAGACGCGACCCTGATGATCCTGCAACATTTAGCACCGCGAAATAAAAAACCCCATTTCTTTCTCCTCAATCGGCATGAGGTCTGCATTTCCCCATCGTCGAGCGAGGCACTCGCAGTTATGCCGCGCGCTCTATGGAAATCGGTCTCTAGTCTTCATGGAAAATCAGTGGAGAGAGGGGGAGGGGGGTGGGTGAGGCGTAAAGTTTTGATATCGGTTGCAAAAATGGGGATTATTGCAGATGGCATGAATTATTGCAGCAAGCTCCCCTAACTTTCTAGTGGCAAAGATTCCCGTAACATTTTATACACATTCTAATAGAAATTGAGCCTTTTAATGAGATCCACGAGCAATAATGATGATGAAAAGAGGAAAAAAGCAAAGCATGACACCCTTCCGTAAGGCGAAATACTCACGACTTGCTTCTTCCGATTTCTGTTGGCGCTGGTTGCGAACCATGTTGGTGAACTGAACATTAGCATTGAAAACATGGAAACATCAGATCCTTATTTGACTAATAGCCCAACCAGAAAAATTCGGATCTACCCCGACGGGTGTGGTTCACTAGGACAGAAAGCGACTTTTTCGCGTTTCGCAGCGCGAAACATTTTTCGCTGCGGGAACTCAGGTCCACTGATCAGCGGTGGACCTGAGGTTCCCGCAGCGAAAAATGTTTCGCGCTGCGAAACGCGAAAAAGTCGCTTTCTGTCCTAGTGAACCACACCCTACCCCAACAATGGCACTTTGGTGCGGAACATGCAAGGCATTTGAAACCCATACAAGCATCTTTTTTTAGAGAAAGAAGAAATACTCACGGTACGGTTCACTTCTTTTTTACCAGAAGGGAATCGGCTCACCAAGCTCACCTTCAAAATTTCAGTTACTGTAGTCGGCACGGAATATTGCAGCCAAATGCCCCCTCCTATCAGAACAGATTCAAAAAGATCTACAATACTTGTCTCATATCCCACTTTTCTAGGTTTCCTTACCAACTTCTTACCACGACCCTCCTTGAGGAAACTGCCATACGTAAGAAAATGAAAATTTTTTTGGTGAGGTTTCAGTTCCAAAAAACTGCAGAATTGCGGAGTGGACAAAAGCAAACGACAGG